AATTTCCAGATGACCAAGACCAGTGCTCCTGGAGACGAGGGTCACGTCGGAGGGTGGACCCTGTGGCATAGGGTTACCAGCCTCCAGGTGGGGCCTGGGGATCTCCTGCTTTTACAACTGATCTCCAGCTGACAGAGATCAGCTCCCCTGGAGAAAATGGCCGCTTTGGAGGGTGGACTCTATGGCCTTGTATCATGCTGAGGCCCCTCCCCAAACCCCGCCCTCTCCTGGCTCCACCCCCAAAGTCTCCAGGTATTTTCCAACCCAGACCTGGCAACCCTACTGTGGCATCACACCCTTGCTGAATTCCCTCCCCTCCCGAAATCTTGCTCTCCCCTGGCTCCACCCCCCCCAAATCTCCAGGAATTTCCCCAGCTAGAGTTGGCATCCCTGCTCCACAGCTTTGGCAGGAGCCCGTGGGGAGGCCTGATCCCGATTGCCTTGGACCTGCACAGCACAGTCAGTGCTCAGCCCCTGTGCCCTGGAGGCTGTGGGGACTGCCTTGAGCAAGGCAGGGATTCGCTTCACACACCCCAGGCCTGGGGATCTCCTGCTTTTACAACTGATCTCCAGCTGACAGAGATCAGCTCCCCTGGAGAAAATGGCCGCTTTGGAGGGTGGACTCTATGGCCTTGTATCATGCTGAGGCCCCTCCCCAAACCCCGCCCTCTCCTGGCTCCACCCCCAAAGTCTCCAGGTATTTTCCAACCCAGACCTGGCAACCCTACTGTGGCATCACACCCTTGCTGAATTCCCTCCCCTCCCGAAATCTTGCTCTCCCCTGGCTCCACCCCCCCCAAATCTCCAGGAATTTCCCCAGCTAGAGTTGGCATCCCTGCTCCACAGCTTTGGCAGGAGCCCGTGGGGAGGCCTGATCCCGATTGCCTTGGACCTGCACAGCACAGTCAGTGCTCAGCCCCTGTGCCCTGGAGGCTGTGGGGACTGCCTTGAGCAAGGCAGGGATTCGCTTCACACACCCCAGCGGCCCTTTCTCACGGGTGGGGGCCAGCAAGGGAAGCACACAAGCCTGGGGGGAGGAGGGGTCCAGCCAGGCTTTCTAGGACCACCTCAGATGCTGCTGAGGCCACAGTTAAAGTCCCCAGCCAATGCTCCCTCTAAGCTATGGAGTCTTGTGAGCAAAAATTCTACTTTGTGAGCTACCGGCATTAAAGTTGTGAGCAGGCGATTTGGCTCCTGCATACATTAGTTTGCTCTGGAGCCCTCCTTCCTGAGCTAAGACAAAAATGTGTGAGCCGGAGGCTAAAAAACTGTGAGCTAGTTCACACTAACTCAGCTTAGAGGGAACACTGGCCCAACTAAAGGGTCCGAGGACTGATGTCAACCTTCCACCTAGCTCTGGGTGGAGAAGTTCCTGGAGATTTGGGGGCGGAGCTGGGGGAGGGGCCTCAGCAGGGTAGAATGGCATCCAGCCCGCCCTCTAAAGCAGCCATTTCCTCCAGGGGAACTGATCTCTGTAGCGTGGAGGTCAGTTATCATTCCAAATCTCCACGCTGGTTGTGGGCAGGCTGTGTTGATGCGGAGGGGAAGCAAAGGCACTTGGCGTTGTTGTTATTCCGGTGACTGTTGACAAGCTGCACCCTGGCTCTTTGTGGTGCTCAACTTTGCCACAAATCCAGCCCGCTGTGTAGCTGAGCTGAGAGGTCCAAAGGTCGGGAGGTGACCCCTCTCGGGCTCTGATGGTGTTTTCTCTTTTCAACAAAAAAAACAAGAAGCACTCGCATATCCCTACAGCTGGCCAAGTTTACTCAGGGATCACTCGGCAGCATGAGCAGCAGGCCTGAATCCCGGAACTGCCAGGCTTCCACGTTTGAGGAGAGGAGCTTCCCTGGCCAAGCTTTGCTGCAGATGGGAGCCACGGAGGCTCTGGCAGGCAGAGGGTCCCAAGCTTGGCCCCGAGGAGCAGGTGCTGGGAAAGACCTAGAGAGCCACTGCCGGTCGGAGGAGACTACTGAGCTGACCTGGAGGGACCTAAAGGGAACCAGGCTCTGGCTCTGCCCGTGGAAGCTTAATTGATTGGGGGAAGCAGACTAAGGGGTAGAGCGCCTGGCTTGAAGGCAGAAGGTTTTGTGTCAGACCTAATTCCGTGGTACGTTTTTTCCTGAGTGTATCCACATTATGGTGGCAGTCATATCCTGAGAGTCCATGCCTCCCAGGTGCACGTGTGCCCTATTTAACTTCAGACCCTGGGGTATGGGGATGGGGGAGATTTCCGCCTTTTCTCCCCCCCCCCTCCCTCCATGCTGTTTTCCTAACTGGACTTGGATCCAGGGAGCTGTGTTTTCCCCACTTCTGTGGGGCAAACAGCACCCCTCCCCCCCGGGGCAATTTCAGGTTCCAAAAATGGTGTGCCCAGCCAGTCCAGTCCACACCCACATGGAAATGTGGACTCCGGGAAGACAAGAGCCGTCCCTGAGGAAATGCCACATGGTGCCTCAGCTTGGCAGGAAGTGTGAGGGGAAGTCCACCTCTGCTCAAGGGCCTGGAGAGCGGCGGTGCGTTCACCAGAGGAGGCCAGGCTGAGCTGACTGAAGCGGGGATCTGAACACAGGCTCCAATGCTGCCATCTCTTGCAGATTGTGGCATCTTGCCCAGCCCTGACTTGAACCTGAAACGTTCTTCAGACAACACAAGGGCTTTGCCTCTAAGCTATGACCATTCTTGTCCAATTTTGCTAGATTGCGGCCTTCAAAACAAGGTGTGTGTGTGTGTGTGTGAATTTTCCCACCTAGCTTGTGCCATTAAGTCACATCACCCTCCTGAGGGTGGCTCTGGCTTTTCAGAAGTATGCCCTCTCACCTGGCATTTGCCCTATATCAGAAGGCTGCAACCGTTGTGGCAAGGAAGCGCCAACCAAGAGCTGGGTCGATCCCAGATTCTGTGCTGAACATGGTTCTCTTGGACACAGGCAGAGTGCGTTCGCCTCACCTGTGAGTAGCCTGACTCTGTGATCTATTTCACCCACCCTTCTACGAACATGGGAGTACGTATTCCAAGAAGGATTGACCCCTCGTGCTTTCCTCTTGGGGGGGGGGGAAAGTAGGGCACACGTTAAGGGTAAAGTGGTCTGCACAGGGCTGATATGGGCTGGAAAGTTACCCGGCCAGTTGCGCCCGGTATGACTGAAACTGAAGACCCCATTTGGGGATGCGACATCTGCTGGCCCACCGTCATGCTACTGTGTCCTTGGCCTCGATCCCCAGGCCAGAGGCTATTTTTGTGATCACAAGGCGAGAGGGACGCAGCCAAGGAACATATTTAGGATTTCAGACTAGGGAGGAACTGCAGGGCAGGCAGAGACTGACGTGGGCACAGCTCTACCGAAAGCTTCCATGGAAATGTCGGGAGACATATTTCTGAGCACAAGTTCCAGAGCTGGTCAGAGGCTGCAGTTCCAGCCGTAAGACACAGAATCTGGCGCACTGCTCCATTCAACTCTTCAAGGCCTTGATTCTACAGCAGGTCCTCCAATGGAATATGGCTTTTCCCGTCCCAGAGGAAAGGAGGGCCATTTTTGGCAGTTTCCCGCTGAAGATCCCCAAGCTTGTTTCCCCCCCCCCCCCGGTTAGACACAGAGGCGGTAGAATGATTCCACTGGGGCTGCTTAAGAAACCAAAGCTCCCAGTTTTAATGATAAAGGACTGCATCCCCCCCAAAGCCTTCCAACAAACCAAGCTGAAAATGCTCGTATTTCCCTCTCATAAACTGAATTGGGTGTAACAGTCTCTGCCTATGAAATTCTAACATTTCCCCTAATCTGTTCCAACCCTTGAGGGGGGGAAATTGAAGAAAAATGCAAAGTCCTGGAGTGAAAAATATTCTCCAAGTTGAAACTCCGAACGAAAGGTGAGGGTGTGGGTCTAGGCCCACCCATTTCTCCTCCTGAATGGGTAACGACTGCTGATGTAGCCAGAACATGCGGCCACAGGAGCTGCTAAGTCTGGTAGAAGAGGCAGGACTTCCTGTCCTAGGACGTGCCCCCTTTCACCCATGTCCAAGTTTGGGAACAGGCACCCTTCCCAGACTGGATGTCTGACCAAGTGACCTGCTGCATGCAAAGTCTTCCCTTCCCAGACACAACATTACCAGCCACGGTTTCCTCGATGCTTGAGAAGCCAGTGAAGCAACTTGGGGGCCGGTCCTCTTCCAGTTGAAAGCAACGAGGCTTAAGTTACTTAAGTGCTGGAAGTTTACTTTTGGTTGACTGCTCCTGAAACTCAACTTCCTGAATGCTTCAGAACTTTGGCTCAGTGGCAGAATCTGTGCGTGGCACACAGGCGGGCTCTGGTGGATTCCTCCGCACTTCCAGTTAAGTGGGTCACAGAACTGGGCAACTACGCAGGCTGGGGCAATTTGTGGAGAGGTGTACAAACCAAGGGGCTTCAGAGGGAAGAACAGCCAGGCTCCTTCTGCATGAGGCCACCTCCTCCCCCACAATCCCATTATTTCCTGTGGTGCTTCCTGCAGTATCCCCATAAGCCTCAGAACATTTAACTGCAACCAATACAGATCATTCACTGGTCTGTCATGGCTTCCCCTCCCCGATCTCCCTTCTGTCAAGCTAGTTGCTTCTGGCCCCACTGCTGGACCTCCTGATGGCCCCTGGAGTTTTTGGCCACTGTGTGACAGAGTGTTGGACTGGATGGGCCACTGGCCTGATCCAACATTGGCTTCTCTTATGGTTCTTAAGCTAAAGGGATGTATAAAGCCCCTGAATTTTAGGATGTTTTAAGCTGTATTGTATTGTTTTTAAGCTATTATGTATACTATATTTTTATGATGGCAAGGTCTCCTTGCCCCTGTAAGCCACCCTGAGCCCACTGGGGAGGGTGGGGTATAAATATGAAAAATAAATAAATAAAATAAATTCATGAGTTTATTTGTCATTATTTGTAGAAAACCAGAAATGCATCACATATGTACACACACAAAAATAAACTTTGTGTCTTCAAACAAAAGTTTCAGCTATAAAACAGTATGAAAATATATAATTTAAAAAGTGCATCAAAACCAGAGCATGTCAGAAAAGAGGTACAAAACAATGGCAGTGGGGAAAATCTTAAGCAATTTTGTAGCTGAGTAGCTGTGGAAAGTTTTCTGTTTGTGGAATGCATCGCTGAGTGTGCCACCCCCCCGCACCCCACCCCGGGCAGGATTTGGGGAATATTCTTCAGCTTTCCTTCAAAAGGAACATGCACACCCCAAGGAAACTCCCATGCAAACTGCTAATTTCCACCTTTATGCTAAAAAACCCACTAGACTCCTAGGTCGAGCTTTTGAGAAACACCGTTCAAGGACGCCAGAGTTTCTCTATACAGTCCCAGAAAGGCTTGCGGCTGGGGGGCAGGCCTCCTCCAGGGAAGATCCGTCTCTCCACCTCAAACAGAGAATTATGCATGTGCAAAGACAGCAGACCAGGAAAGGTGGAGCCACCTCTGCCCCCACCCTCTGGTTAGCGCAGTAACCAGCAACCACCACTGTTATACTGTTCCTCACCCCCCAAAAAAGTCCACAAACACAAACCCCACCATCCTCCAAGTGATAGTAGAGCCACTTCTCCAAAACGTGCCTGACCCCATCCCCGTGGGTGCTGCAGGGTCCGACCAGTCTTGAAATCACGGGGCGACCCAAACCACAGCCGGCAGTGCCACGGTGGCCACTTCGTCCTCATGGAGGAACTTTCTTCAGAAGGCACCAAGGCAGCTTCGTTCTTCAAGGCACGTGTGGAACTCCAAGGGACAGGGCAAAGGCCTCTCTGCAGGGGAGACTGGTTCCACACAGTCCAAGGACCAGCACACACCAGCCCACAACAGCTTGGAGACGGCATTTGTGGATTCAGACGTATGTGGGCGCAAATCTTCAGCAGGCACCGTTCAGGGGCCAAGGAAGAGCCCTCTCTCCTTCCTTCATCACCAGTCGCGTCCAGATAAACGCCAACCAGCTCTTCAGTGGAGTGCTCGATGCCGCACACTCTGAGCAGAGCGGCGGTCACAGAATGGGCACCCACCACTTGGGGGGGGGGGCAATGACCTGTTATCCGCCCTCCATCTCTCTGCAGAAAGGATTTCCCATTCCAAGCCATGATCTCAAGTCGGGCAAGGCTTCCGGTCAGCATGTCATGCAGCGCGGACGGATCAGGCTGTCAGAGGGAGGATTGGGGTCCACCTGGAGGGGAAGAAGGACAGCAGGTTCATTTTCAGGAGGAGGAGGAGGGTCCCCTTCCACCGTGGTCACTTTTTAACAGCAGGGGTGGATGCATTAAGGGGAAAATCCCTGCCTTGGCAGAAAAAGACAAAGCTGCACCCCTCCCCCCAAGACTATGACCACAGCCCTCTTCCTCTGTGGCACAGTGCTCACCTCTGAGTAAAGGGGGGGCGGCCGGTAGCGAAATTCTTGGATGTAGGCAAAGAACGGCCCTTCAAAGATGCTGGTGGCCTCATCCTGGCAAGGAGGGGACAGGTTCTCAGGAGGCTCTTCGCCGGTCACCACAGAGGAGTAGTCTGGTGGAGCTGGGGAGAAACACCAGGGTGGTGGTTAGAGGAGGAGGAGGCCCAAGGCCTAAGCCTCAGGTGATTCAGAAAGGATACCAGAGCAGGCTCGTTGCTGGGCTTTAGGCCTCACCAAGACAGATAAGCACATCCAAGGCAGGATTAAACTCCCCTGGACGAACCTCCGCTTTTTTTCCAGAAGTTATTACCCTTATATGTCTGGGGAAAACTGTAGGCTCTTAGAACAGGCCTGGGCACTATTGGCCACTGTTACGGGAGGGATGTGCAGCTTTCTTGTCCTGTCAGGGAGGCTCTGCCCCCAGAACCATAATCAATGAGGGAAGGGGGACAGAGGAGCGCTCAGGGCAGACGGCACCAAACCATGGCCAAACTGCCTGTCCACAAGGCCTGCCATGTCCCAAACATGGCCTCATTTCCCAGCACCAATAAGGCTGCTCTTTCCTCAGGAGCCTGCACTGTGGCTTTTGACTGTCGGCAAGCACTCACCCTCAGGCTGCTCAGGGATTCCCATCCGGAGCCAATCTAGACTGGCGCTGTACTGGCTGCTGACGCTGGATGTGCGACTGCCAAACGGATGCAGTGGGATTGTCCCGATCACCAGGGGCAGCTCCAGGAGCAGCTTAGAAGTCCCAGGAATGTCGACACAGACCTGTGGAGACAAAGGCATGAGGGGATGGCTGTAAGCAACCGTCGGACAAGGGCCGGGAATGAAAGCTCCTGAGCTGGGCCTTTCCCCAAGAGAGAGAGACCAGCTGAACAAGTCAGAAGAGGCCTGACCTGTAAAGAGGGAGCCCCCATTTGGTTCAGGGTAGGGAGAGTGGAGCTTAGTCCTTGAAAAATTATTTGCTTCCTTTATACTCTATTCCTGCCTACTTTATTCAGCTAAGGATTGTGAGCTTTGGGTAAAATGGTGGCAAAAGCTCTGTTTTTGCAAGTTTAAGACCTAGAGTCTTGATCAACGGGCCAGATAAGGAAGAATCCTATTTATCAGCACACGAACTCTCATCTATGTACATACACACAACTACATTTGTTACTCCTTGAGATACCACTGGAAGTATTTTGCTGCTAGAAGCCAACGTAGCTGATGCAACCTTGTGGTGCTTAAAAGACTTATGACAGCAAAATCACCTCTGGACTACAGCTCTGCTTCAGGAGGCAAAGGGGGTTAGGTTAAGTCATCAATACTGCCAAACTGGTGTTTTGCCACCTAAACCAGGCATGGCTGCTGGCCCCTTTCCTGTTGCCCCCAACCTAGCCACAGTAATCCATGCAACGGTCACCTCCAGACTGGACTACTGTAACTCGCTCTATACTGGCCTGTCCGTGAGACTGGCCTGGAAGCTCCAACTGGTCCAGAATGTGGCAGTGCGAGTCCTGGCAGGAACGCCACGGACAGCACATACACAGCCTGTGCTGTGCCAGCTACTGGTTACTGGCACAATGTCATATCTGTTGCAAGACTGGGGCTTTTAGGGGGAGGGGGCAGCACTGCAGCCCCCCCAATGCAATTCCTCTGGCCTGGGTAATCCTAAACAAAGAGCTGCTCACCCTTCCCCATCATTCAGAGGCGCTCACCTTGAGTGAGTACTCCACGTGGAGAATGCGGCACTGAAGGATGGAGGGCCCCACGGGGGGGATTTTGAGTGCCCGCCCGTGCCACACATCCCGCTTGTGCGCTGCGATGGAGTCGCCCACGATGCTGGCCACAACGGACTTCTTCTGCTTCTTGGTGCCCCGGGCGAGGAACGTCTGCGTCTGTATGATGGCGGCCTTGGGGATGACCGAGCGGGTGGTGCCGTTATCGATTTCAGCAAAAATGGGGATGACCTCACCTGACAAAGGAAAGCAAGGGCAGAACAGCGTGAGGTGAAGGTGCTGCAGATTGCTCAGTTGGCATCTCATGCCCCTGGTAGCTCTGAGCTGATGCCCATCAAGGGCCACCAAGTGAACAACACTCCTGCCCTTCCGCCACTCTCCTGCAGTGGGGAGAGGGGGAATCCCCCCCCCCATCCAGGGTGGCTGCCCTCACAGTTTTGCAAAAGAAAGTCTGACCCAGACCCCCCTAAAAGACTGAGTTTCCCTAATCTCCCACCAGTGCCCCTAGGATCTTTGGGGAAGTCCCACTTAGGCCTCTAGGCAGGTAAGCACTGAGCAATCGCCCCAGCACCACGTGGCTCGGACAGTTTAGAACAGTGAGGAAACGAGGACGTGGGCGTGCCGGTCGGAAGAGGAAGCATCATCCGCCACCCCCCCTTTTTTGACACCTGCCGGCAAATTACCTGGTGTGTATCCTTTCCGATCGATCTTGGCAGAGACCGAAACCTGCCCCCGGTTGCGATACCAGGTGCGAGCCAGTTTCTCCTTGGCACCAGCCTGAGGAGCCTGTCAGGAGAAGCGGAGAGAAGAGAGCCCCTCAGTGGACTGCCAACCCGGAGCTCTGGTCTTTCGGCGAAACAGCACCGGCTTCGGGGGAGGAACTTACTGGCTGTCAGACAGGGATGCACACCTGAAGGCCCTCCTCCCTCCCTGCCACAGGCTGCTGTGGGGCACCAGCTTTGGAAAAGCGGAGCAGCCCCTTGCCCAGGGTTCTCAGCAGGGGGGGGGAGGGAGGGGGCTGGCTGCTTTGGACAGAGAGTCCGACCCGGAGCGTGGGGCCACTGCAGCCCAGAGGGCAGCTGCAGGAAGGGGGCTCGAGAGGAAGGCTCCCCGGCCTGGCGGCCCACTCACCAGCAGGGCGGGCGTGTTGATGTCGAGGGGCTCGAGGACGGTGAACTCCTGCTTGGCCCTCCGGACGGCGGCCCAGGGCCGGTGCAGCTTGGCCTTCACCCAGTAGGGGACGCTGCCGTGCTTGCCCTCGAAGGAGGTGGCCAGGCGCCTGCGGAGGGAAAAGGACTTACTCGGGCAGCGAGAAGGCGAAGGGGAACTCGTGCCGGCCGGCGGGCAGGACCGTCACCTCGCCGCTGTCTGCGGGGGAAGGAAGGAGGGCCGGTGAGCGCGCCGCGTCGCCGGGCAGCCGAGCGCCGCGCCCCCCGCCGCCCCCGAGTCCGGCCGCCCCTCTCCTACCTGGCTGGGGGGCGAGGAGCTGCTGGCGGTGGCTGAGGAAGTCCACGCGGTCGCCGTAGCTCTGCGTGTAGGCGGTGCTGGAGCCGGCCGAGCGGGACTCGGTCCAGTGGACCTGGGCGCAGCCGCGGGCGTGCAGGTGGAGGGCGCAGAGGCGCGCCTCCCCGCTCAGCTCCAGCACCACCCGGCCGGCCACGCTCTCGCCCGAGCTGAACACCGGCGGCGAGGCCGGCTCCGGGCAGTCGAGCAGCACGGCGAAGCGCTTCAGGCGGTCCCAGGCCGCGCCCCCGACCGCCCCGCAGCCAATCGCTCCCCGGGGGCCGGGCCGCCCACGCTCGGCCGCCCCCGGAGGGACGGAACAAGCCGAGCCGGGCAGAACCACCACCACCTCCTATAGGAGGTGTTGGCAGAACGGGGCCCTGAGTCGAGCGCCCTGCCTGCCTGCGGAGCGGGCTGCTGGCCATGCTCAAGGAGTGTGGAGAAGGCGGCCGCCAGGCTATGGGACTCGCTGGGCGCCGCCCTGCCCACAAGTCCCAGCACAGCAGCAGGTAGCAGCTCCCACCTTTCGGTGATGCCAACCAATGTTCCCTCTAAGCTGTGGAGTCTTGTGAGCAAAAATTCTCCTTTGTGAGCTACTGGCATTAAAGTTGTGAGCGAGCAATTTGGCTACTGCATTAATTAGTTTGCTCTGGAGCCCTCCTTCCTGAGCTGAGACAAAAATGTGTGAGCTGGAGGCTTAACTAACTCAGCTTAGAGGGAACACTGATGCCAACCTGTCCGCCTTTGTCAAGGAAGGGAACACGCGGCAGGGTATGCCCGTAGGTTCGCTGCTGGGTGGGTAGAGGGCTTCTCTCTGGTGGGGTGCGGGGGGCGTGAATGGGGTCGCTGGCTTAGGAGAAGAAGGGAGACCCTGGCTCGCAGAGCGCCGAAGGGGGGCTTCCGGGGCGGGCCGCAGACCCTTTTCTCTCCCACCTTTGGCACTGGCTTCCTGGAGGACTTTGTGCGGGCCTGGATGCGCAAGGAGAAAAGAGACCCCCGCCCTGAGAGGGGCAGTTTGGTTCGCAGAACTGCTCTGCTCAGGCAGGGCCAGCCAGATATGTTGCGAAAGCCCATAAGCAGGGCAGAGAGGCCTTCTCTGTTGCTGTTTTTCTATGCCTAGTTGTCTGCCTACAGGGAATCCCCAGTTGGTTCTCATGGCTAATGGCACTAACGGGGAAGTACTGGGGAAATGAACATGGCCCTGAAAAGGTGGATTGCCCAGGCTAGCCAGTTTCATCAGACCCCAGAAGCTGACTTGCGCTGGCTCTGTCGGTACTTGGATGGGAGACCGCTAATAAAGTCCACGGTCCCTGTGCAGAGGCAGGCAATGGCAAACCGCTTCTCATCTCTTGCTTTGAAAACCCCATGAGGCTGTGAGTTGACAGCCATTTCCGTAGCTCCATAGCTGCATCCGTCCGTAGCAAAATTCAGAAGTGGGACGGATTACACAAAGCAGTGTGTGTAAGTTTTCAGATTATGCAGAACTCTTCATCAGTCTGAAGATTACAAAAACGTTTCACATGGAGGGACCAGCCGCTGTTTCAGGTCATGATTGGCATCCTTTTGAAATGTTGCAGAGGCAGGCGTTTGAGACTGGTGTCCATGTCAGGAAGAAATAAATAAATGACTGCACGCACGTTCATCCAAATGTCTCTCTACCACTATGTCAGAGGGAGGGAGGGGAAGGAGGTAGATTAGGCAAATAGGTCCCTTCACTTTCTAATTCTCCCATTCACAATGCTGGAGATTCATTTCTGGTGACATACAAGATAAAAAGCCAGAGAGCACCCAACTAGGTAGTATTACCTTTGTGTTATAGGCAAAGCTTACATATGGTTTTGTGTCATTTTAGTTGGTCCCAACAAAAGCTAGTGTGTAGTTTTTGTAGGGGTACAATGTCAGAATTCTGAGAAAATTGTTATTCACTGAGCTTGACGCCCTGTCAAAACGTCACTCTAACAGTCAACAGTCATATCATCATACTGTTGACTGTTTATATGACGACAGCTGCAAGAATTTTATATGCCAAATATTGGAAAACTATGGTGATACCAACAAAACAGGAATTTGTGAATAAACTCTTTGAAACAGCAGAAAATGATAAACTGACTTTAGAAATGAGATTAAGCAAAGAGTGGACATTTCAAAAAACATGGAAAAAGTTTTATGATTGGTATAATGTAAGTACAATAGAAGATTAGGCAATTATGGCACAATGGACAGAAGACAGAAGAATGGAAAGAGATAGAGCGTTTCTATTAATTAAGTAATTGGTTATAAGCATATAATGTAACTGTACTCTTGGCATACATGTTATGTGTAGTAGAGTGTCTGTTTGTAGTGTGTAGATTAGTTTGTTGTAGATTATAAAAGAAAAATTAATAAAAGTGTACCTTTGGGTACTTAAAAAACAAACAAACGTCACTCTAACTGCGAAACAAAACACAGGGTGGAGAAACGGCAGGTAGTGTCAGACAGAGCCGTCCTAAGGACGCTTTGGGGGGGGGGGAACCAGCGCCACCTGTCTGGGATTGCTCTGAACAGTGAGGGAAGTTCACCTCCTTGACTTTACCGACACCTTGTGGAAGAAAAGGAGAAAAGCAAGTGTATTAAAAACATTCAGCTGCCTGCCCTGTTATGGAGATGGCTGAACATATTTTGGATTCTTGTAGAAGAAGAGAAGAGATTGGATTTATACCAATCCTTTATACCATTGGATTTATACCATTACCTGAAGGAGTCTCAGAGTGACTGACAATCCCCTTTCCCTTCCCCTCCCCACAAAAGACACCCTGTGAGCAATGCTCCCTCCAAGCTGTCGAGTCTTGTGAGCAAAAACTCTACTTTGTGAGCTACTGACATTAAAGTTGTGAGTGAGCAGTTTGGCTACTGCATAAATTAGTTTGCTCTGGAGCCATCCTTCCTGAGCTAAGACAAAAATGTGTGAGCCAGAGGCTAAAAAACTGTGAGCCAGCTCACACTAACTCAGCATAGAGGGAACACTGGCTGTGAGGTAGGTGGGGCTGAGAGAGTTCTTTCGAGAACCGCTTGTGAGAGAACAGTTCTGAAAGAAGTTGTAACTGACCCAAGGTCACACCAGCAGCTGCATGTGGAGGAGTGGGGAATCAAACCCCTGATTAGCGTCTGCGCCCCTAACCACTATGCTACACCAAACTGGCTACACCAAAGCAGAAGGGCAACACTAAGCCAAGTACTTTCTCCTCAATTCCTCTGAGTTTAAAACAAAATCAGGTACAAAATTTCAGTAGGACTTCATTGTCGTCCCAATTTTTGCAAATGATTATAGTAACAATAATTTCCCCGATTTTTCTTGTTGACTCCATTCCCCCAAATGTTCAGAGCTGGTTGTAAGCAGCAAAATCAGAAGAGCAACTATAAAACCTCAAGAATAAAGTTTGAGTCCAGTGGCACCTCAAGACCAACAAAGTTCCATTCAGGGCATAAGCTTTCGTTTGCACACGTGTCGTGCGTGCACACAAAAGCTTATACCCAGAATAAAACTTTGTTGGATTTAAAAGTACCGCTGGGCTCAAGCCTGAACCACAGATGCAACCCAGAGCAAATAACCAGAGGTGAGACGATCAACGCGCTCCAATAAAGGTGTTCTACCCCGGAGACTGAATCTGCTTGCAGAGACACTGGGAACATCGGAGCCTACGCCATGTGATGACATCTCTTGCCTACCAGCCCAAGAGGCACACAGGAGGCAGTTCACAATGGTAAGAACACTCCTGAGTGTTGCAACACACAAGGGGATGGATGTTGAAAACCTAACTACAGCAACCACATCCAGTCAGGCTGCAAAAGCCTGGGATACAAAACCGAACACTGCATGACTCCAGGCAGACTTCAAGAGAAGATCCCTGCCTGTACACCAAATGCAAAGACGCAACCTACTACTAGTGCATGATAATCCAGATGACAGAAAGGAAATCAGGGATCATCTAAGCAAAGAAGTTGAACTTAAGCAACTCCGCAGCATTGCACACTACCTCGGCATACAGATACAGAGAGAGCCAGATGGCAGTTTTCTCATCAGCCAGGAACAGAATATTAGAGACCTGATGAGAAGCCTGAAACTGGATGATGCTCCGCCCAAATACATTCCTACGGAGCCAAACTACATGAATCTGCAGAGCTTCCTGGAAGGAACCGATACAATGAAGCACTAGGTAAGCTTTTGCACATTTCCACTTTGACCAGACCAGACATTACATTAGCTGTGGGACTATAATGTAGAAGAAGAAAAGAGATTGGGTTTATACCCCGCCCTTCACTACCCAAGGGTGTCTCAGAGCGGCTTACAAGCTCCTTTCCCTCCCCCTCCCCACAACAGACACCCTGTGAGGTAGGTGGGGCTGAGAGAGCTCTGACAGAAACTGCTCTTTTTCAAGAACAGCTCTTATCAGAACTACGGCTTGCCCAAGGTCATCCAGCCAGGTTCAAGTGGAGGAGTGTGGAATCAAACCTGGTTCTCCCAGATTAGAGTCCGCACACTTAACCACTACACCAAACTGGCTCTTTCATTAATTTTTTTTAAAGGATTTTCGTTTCAGTGCTCTCCAACATTTCCAGTTTTTCAGTCGAGTCCTCCCATTACACTTTGGGTGAGTAAAAACTTGTCTTAAAAGCATTTCACTCATTTGAAAGAAAAGAAACATTTCATAGTGTCCCCCCCCCCCAGCTCCTTCGGGGGAGGGTGGTTTATAAATTGAATAAATAAATCAGTCAAATCTCCCCATTTTCCAAATGACTTCTTACGCCATGGGTGTGCAGCCCACACAGGGGCTGGCTGCTGCTTCCCCCGCTAGCTGTGGGGCAAATGGGACTGCTGCCCTATGGCTTCTTGCTGAGCTGCCCCATGGCCCTGATGTAGCTCCTCCTCAGCCCCTGGCTCGCCTCCTGTTGCCACATCAGGCACAACTTGACCATTGTCCTGTGCAGGTGCAAGTGGTGCCTGGCTGCCTGTATAGATTCTGCCCCCCAGGCCAGCCCAGGGATGGGGGAAAGAATTCTACACTGGCACAATACATTACTCAATAACCCAGAGAGGTAGGCTCTCTGGATTTAAACACAATAGCCACCAGGGATCTCTAAACTTAATCCCTCACCAACCTGAGATTAGAGATCCCCAGAATCTCAGCTGGCATGTGGGATTTACACATTAGCCACTCAATCTAGAGTGTGCAGTTAATCTTACACAGGTAGCATAATTGGTCAGCGGTTTAGGCTGCAAGATTTAGCTTGAAGTCCAGTTACCACAATCCAGACACTATTTATAAACAAGAATAAGGTTTATTCAGTAGAGAACTTTAGCACAGACTAGAAGGATTCAAAATAACAGCCTAGGCAAGTCTTGCCTTAACTAAACAGTAAGAAACATATTTACCAACATCAGGGTAG